ACATGTGATCCGGACCGATTTCAAATGAAATCACTACAATAAAGGGTTGCGATTCAAGTCGCCATAAGGTGAGCGAAGTGTAAAGAATGGCTCAGAATTTTTAAATGAGGAACCCTTTTGAGCCGCTTCTCAAAAACGTCGGAACTCCCCAGACCACCACTTCAATGACATTAGAATGCAGATTCGCACGGTCGGGTAACAAATGGGAACCCCTACAGTTCGGTGAACCGATGCTATTTATAGTTTCTCAAGATTGACGAGCTATGGGTAAAACTTTGGCTTTAGAGGAGAATTGAACCCGTGCTAATGCTTACGGGCGCTGTGCTCTCCTTCGCTAACCCTAACCGGACTTCCTGCTTTTTCCAGTGCCTTCGTCATCAATCAGGTAAGCCTTATATCAAGTATTAGGCCTGGGATAGCTTAGCTACGTAGTATACTGAACTGGGATTGGCAGCTAAATAGGTCCGCGGGATTTATCGATATTTGTTGTCTCCTTAGTAATCGTTTTTGGGTGCACATTCCTGCAGCAACTCTGTTCAATGAATTCTTCTCGCTCAATGGACTCGGAGGGTATTTATCCCTTCGTTCATGAACTCTCATGAACAGATCTGGCTTCGGGAGGGGGAGGGGGGGAGGGGTGGTGGCTCTATTTCTTTGACATAGAAGCAGCTACCACCTTGGTAGCTGCTCTTGCCTCACAACCATTACACAATCGCATCACGTGGCCGGATTAACCATAACCGGAGTGGACACTGAGGCTCTTTTAATTCACGACGACCCCGACGAGCAACCTTTTTTCTGCTGCTCCTTAACTCGGTTGCTAGCTTTTGATGGCTTGCAGGGAGGAGACAGGTTTTATGAATTGACTCAGCAGATCATAGAGGGATATCATATCCTGATTCTGTCTTCATCTTAAAGTTAGTTGTCGGTGTCTTACGAATAACGATTCACCTTTTATTCGTCACCCAGATTCGGCAACGTGTAGGCTCCACATTAAATGAGACAGAGACGCAGAATATGGCGCAGTTTCTTTTTCTTTGTATCTGCTTCGTTATTTCTAGCATATCGGACATGAAAAATTCAATTATTACTGAGAATTCCTGTTCTCATGTAAATGTTTTCTAAAGCGGGTATTACTGAAAGGACGATGACTTTCTCAATCACGAAACTGCGCGGCTCATAAGAATGCTTTACAATTAGAATTGTTCTCGGAATAACTGACGTAATAAATATTTTATTGGATTTTTGCCATGATTTATGCTAAACTGGCCTTTCATGATGAATGCTTACGGGAAAATCTTGACTTCAGTGCAGTAGCAGTATCAGTTAGCGTTAATGGATTTACAAAATGTTGCAAAAAAAATTTTGAAAATAGAAGTTTGTGGTCAAGAATTATATAAGTCTATGCTGAGGAATTCTCAAAAAAATGTAGCCGTATTAAACCTTCCGGGTGTGGAATTGTATCAGTATGGGAGTCCAAACTTTAGCTGTGAATAAGCCAGCTTCTTTATTTGTGACTGGAAGATGGGGAAGCGATGGAATGGAGGTGTGCTTCCTGGAATCCTAACAAACTCGATGATTTTCTAAATCTATGAGAAATATCAAGGCCCAAATCTAATGGCATTGACATTGCATCGTCAAATGCGATTTGGTAAGTTAGACGATGAGGCCAGTCAAAATCGGGCCGAGCTAAAAGTATCGGTCGAAAATCGCACAAAAGTCAAGTTTCCCCTCGATATCTGTAGGCTTCCATAGAAACACTGTAAAACTACGAAATTCTGGAGATTTTGTAATATCGCAATCGACTGATCGAATCGAAGTTCATATTGAATCTTTCTGTTTCTCGCTGTGAAGCTTCGGGACGGGATGTGCACAGAGCACATCGGGAAGAATTTCAAGGCCGAATGCTTGACGCAAGTTTCAGTGAGCTGTATCCGAGCTGCAAATTGGCCGGATTAAATTCGTGAAGGAGTATATGTTCAAAAGGGACAGACAATTTGGTCTTTATATAGTCAAAGGAGCGAGGAAGGGGTAGCGAATATGTTACGCATACACCTATGTCCGAACAATCGAAGCTCCATGGAAGCTTCCCGGAGCTCCAAGGAGAAATCTGGGCTGTCAGGGATTACTTTCCGCACAACCTTATACTTCGATCGGAAACGTTTGGGGAATCGTAGGTGTATCAGGCTTTTCATCTTCGTGTTTTCGAGGTAACTCCTAAGGTAGCCTCTACCACGGCATATTTGGGTGGCAATGCGGCTTCAGAACAGATTCACTGTCCTCTTCCTAGATGTTGTATTACTATGTATATTTCATGGTAATTATAGATCAGGTCGTTGAGGGTGGTCAGCGTTCCAATCTTTGAATCGGACCGCCCGTATCGATTCCACACCACCCAACCGTACCGCCCTTGCTCCCCCTATATTTCATGGTAATTATAGATCAGGTCGTTGAGGGTGGTCAGCGTTCCAATCTTTGAATCGGACCGCCCGTATCGATTCCACACCACCCAACCGTACCGCCCTTGCTCCCCCGAGTTTTGTTTTTTTCTGTTTTTGAATTTTTTTTCGAATTTGATATCATTCAAGTGTATGTACACTACGTTCTCCCATTCTTTTTTTTTAATAATTTCATTATAATCATGGGTGAACATTTCAAATTTATTCGCGTTTTTGGACGTTTTGAAACGACTTTGGTCATTCTCTGCCTGTCATTGCTCTTTCTCTCCTTCGTACTGCCACTGATTGGAAAAACGTTGAAAGTCTGAAAAAAGTTCATCAATAACTGATAAGGTTGAATGGGTTTTAAACCCAGTTAATGATGAAGCGGTTTTTGATGTTTATAATCGTGCAACTGAAAACGATGCTTCTCCTTCCCTTCAAGAATAGCTCCTATAGAAAGAAATGGGTGTATATTGCGAAAATCTGTGAAATTATGAACTCAGCGGGTTTTTCATCACGGAACATTCTTCTTACTTTCTTCACTTTTCTATTTGATTCCCGTTACGCGATAAAAAGACCGCACCGATCTTTGCTCTGTTCTGGCGCTTCAAAAGGTGATAGTCAGATGGGGCGAAGTCAGGGGAATGGGAGGGTGAGGAACGGCATTCGAGCCAGGTTCATGTAACCTGGATTTCTTTACATCGTAAAGTGGACAGAACTTTCCCTCATGGATTTATTTCTCTGATTAGTTCTTTTCTGAAGCGTTGATCGGTTGAAGGGCCGGAAGGGATTCGAGCAAAGCCATGGGATCAAAGTTCGGGACCCCGTTCATCGACCGAGCCCATACGTGGACTTTGCTGCTTCGTACGAACGATTACTCAATGGGTTTCTTTACTTCGTGGGCTGCTTCAGAATCGCTGTCTCGTTATTTACCAAGCTTATGAAGGANGGTGGTCAGCGTTCCAATCTTTGAATCGGACCGCCCGTATCGAT